TTTCGCATGTTGCGTGATCTTTGACGACTATTGTAGATCAACAGGTATATGAGCAGCTGTGCCCATTCCCTGCACCTCTCCACTAGCCAGCTTGGACAGATGCTGGAGTCTAGAAACAGAGAATAAGGTCGACGGCTCAGCACATTTTCCTCACTATAAATCATCTGACTCGCTTGATGCCATCATGGTGCGCTAAAAGCCGTGACTTGAAAGGCTACCAACTGACGGGATGACTCGGATATCTCAGTCAGCACCCTGTGTGTGTGGGTTTGTGTGGGGTGACCGATTAAGAGCAGACTGCAATGGCTTCTTGGTGTGACCGTTATGGGACTAACACTCCGTAAGATATGAGTCAGTTGTGGCGGCACACTTCGGGGCAGCTCGAGCTGCGCCCCGCACATGCGCTCTGTCCCATTTCCCCTACTTGGACATGATACTGCCCCCACAGGTTATTACTTTCACCTTACTAATAGTGAAAGTTCTTTCTACCAACTAATGTGGCACTTTTTATACTGCCAATTTCCGTATTTCTCTGTAAATCCAAACTCTCTGGACATTTTGCATATACAGTATTGCAAGTACTGCAAGCAACTTGCCTAAGTTTGTAAATGTTTGATTATTTCTCCCATATCAGCCAGAGCGCATTTACGAAAACTGATAAATAATAATGAGCAGCATTAGGCATATTAAGTACTTAAAAGAACTATAAGAATTACCAAGTGTTTGTTAAGAAAAATAAAATTTTTTCGATAATCCCCAGATTCTGGAGACGTAATAAATAGCTATAAATTAGAGCAATAAATTTAAATATTTCGTTAAGTATAAAACTTAAAGCAACCACTTTCTTTATATAAAAAGAACTTGTATTTAGTTAAAATATTTTGTACATATGGTAATTATTGGATGAGTAGTTATTGAATATCTTGGAATAAAGTCTCTAATCATTTCACTCGTTTTCAGTGTGTTCATTGATAAGTTGATAAATCGCGCTTCTGTTCGACGTTTACATCAAAACCTTTAAAGTAAGATGTAACTAAACAGCATTTACCGAAAAAACGAGTTTTTGGATATTTGTTCTTATGCAGATGACCATGTAGGTCAAATGTGGAAATGCTTCAAAACAGCAAACCACAGTGTCGAGCAGAAAAAATGACTGCTAGATACCACGCATATTGTTATTCCTAAGATTAATAAAAAATTCCATAATAGGTTACCTCTTTTAAAAGTGCTTTTATTGGATATTTAGCTGACGAACTTCTATGTATGTTAACTTTTTCCAAGGTACTGTCACAGTGACATTGGAGACTTTTGACAATTTCTTTAATTTACCTGAAGAAAAACGATTAAATTTGACTGGAGATGAAAGAACATACTTTTATCTTTATAACGGATTATTTTCCGCTTAAGGGGGTTAATTCCACGATCCGTAATAAGCGTGCGAATGCAAAAAAGACAGGCCACATCTATGGCCATTTTTGAAATACTTATTATTCTTCTGTCTGTTCCGTTTCTAAATAACGCTTGAGCGGAACATAATGTTTACAAAAACTATATTTCTGCATGAAATACATTCAATAAGACCTTTTATATGTTGTCTTCGCGGTAATGTATGGACACTTTGCTTAAGCGCAAGGCCAGCTGCGCGGTAAAAGGAAATTTTCTACCAAAAACTTTTGTTACTGCATTTTTCGCAAAAAAAACTTCACAGAATAGCTAAATATAATTTTTAAAACTCCTATCGCTGCTTATTTCTGAAAATAAATGCGATTCCTTAAAGTTCGCTTCACTTCCATTTGATCAACTTCGCCCAAAATTTTCCAGTTATCGAAGGGATTATTATTCCACCTTCTTTTACTAATTATGGAATACTTCCACAGCACAATATATACTAGTAAAACGTTTCGTTCTATCTTTTCTTATAGCATAGGCAATTTCTTAAATATAAACTTACTCATGATTTAGCCAAAATGAGTACCTTTTCCCCCAATACCTTCAACTAAGAGGGCAGTTTTCAAAACCAAAGCCCTTCATATTATTAAATTGACTCAGTTGGTCAAAATAACCTGTCCAGATATACGCTAAACTACCAAGTTAAATTTCGTCATTAAAGTTGTTTGCAGGACTCGCAGGACTGTACGGCGTGACACAGAAACAGGGCAGCATTTCATAGCTTATCAATATTTAGTGACAGATGTGTGTACACCGATTAGTTAGAGGACACACTCGTCCGTCCATGGTGTCTTCGGAGCTTACACTCGGACCTACGCAGCAAGGCGGCTAACGCTATAGGCAGAATGACATAACCAAAAAAGACAAGGGAGGCTTGGATACCGTTTCTGGCTTATTAGCCTTCGTCAGCCAGTCATACCCAGCCCCAAGTGGTACACCACCCGAGGCTAGAACACGCGACCTGTTGGTTTTGAAATCCAACGCTCTAACCCATCAAGCCAGGGGCCCACTCTTTTGCCGCCTTTGATCGGGATCTGACTAGTGGCCCATCATTTCCAGGGTCTCCAGGAGGGGGTGTGAGGTGCTTAGTAGATTCAAAACTTCATGATAAATCCACTTGCTTATAATGTATTAGGACATGGAGTCTTTGACAAGCCTATGTATAGTATGAATCAATAGGCATTTCACTCATGGGCCGAACGTGAGTAGACATGTACCGAAGAATTTATTCCAACACTTACATGAATTTCTGAGATAATTTAGGAGGTAAGCACACGAAGGGGATGTGTGTAAATCGAAGATCTGGGGACTACCCCGGAGGTCCTGGTTTGTTTTAAGGGTCGGTTTGGCTTTCATCTCATTAACGCGAGGAATGCGAATTCCCGTCCTTAGTCCACTGTGCATCGGAGAACCTTTCGGCCATCCCCCTCCCCCATCGTTCTCTTTGCCTCGGTCGACAACAGCCGGTTATCCGGGTCCCCCTCTGTCCCTAAGACAATTTTAGCTATCTCATCTGCGTCCTGTCCAAAGATCGGAAGCTCTCAGTTTTTGTATAATGTACACGATCCCGCGCTGTCATCGTAGGTACTAGCTGTAAGCCCAGACACGCCTGTTTCGCCGATATTCTGCCGATGCATGACACAGTTGGG